GGGCGACACTAAAACATCTCGCCGCTAATAGAGGAGGCTATGGCAGCAATAACTGTTCTAAAGCAAAAGCCTAAAAACAAATGGCATCCTTCACGCGCGTTCGTCAGCGCTTTATTTTGGTTATTAACCTCGAATCTTTTATACGGGGAAGGGCCGTACGGCGCGTGCGGCACGTGCGGCGGTGCGAGCGCAGTTTTTGGTCACTCTCACGAAAACTCCACAGAACCCTAGCTATAAGGAGTATTCAGTGGGCGCCATATTTGAGGGCGATGTTTAGAGCGCATGCTCGGAACGTGCTCACGCTAATAGGCTGCTAAGACCGGCAATCTTGGTGGTGCGGAATGCACGTGGCGAAAGAACTGTGGAAGCTCGCCATCAGCACGCGCTCAGCAGTCGCGCACACAGCTATGGCCGCTAGTGAATGCTTCCTTATGAACAAAACGAAAAACCAATTGTTGGGTGCGAGGCCCCATATCCAAAGGTTTCAGCTGCCTTGCGCGTGCTGCGTGTGAGGAAACGCGAGCAGAGCTTTGGACTTCTCGGGTTAGGCTTGGGGAAATCGCTGAAGTGTTGAGATCTCCGTATGTCACGATTCCCTCCTCGCACCAAACGCGAGGGGAAGGAGGAACTTGTGCGGTCTTTTAAAATCGCTGTTGTGGCTACTTGGCGCATCAATCTGATGTACAAATTTGATATTCGTAATCCTGGAGGCCAAATGAAAACGATTTGTGTTTTTTTTTTCTCTGAAATTAAGAACCGCTTCAATTTTCCTTTAAGGCTTATTTTAATTTCGAGAGAGAGGCAATAACCCGACTTTTAGCCGAGACATTTCTCGTTGGGAATTTATACCAGCGTACGGTAGAAATTTTATAGCCGTGTTTTTAAAGTGTCATTAAAGCTGTAAAGCGTATGTACACGTGCGTCTAAAACGGACATCAAAAACAGGGTTCGAATATTTCGATTTGGTCTCCCCGTGCTATGTCTTTGAGCAATAACTTAAAACAAAATTAAAAACAAATTAATTCAAATGAGCTTCGTTAGATAAAAACAACGAAAACATTAGCGGAGTGAACTAGTGTTGCTAGCACGTCGCACACACTCCAGCGAATCCAACTTTTTTTTTCCCTTTTTTTTATCTTTTTCATCTTTTACGGCTATACTCTTCGGTACGGCACCCGTTTTTAGATCTTTTCCGATTAAGCATCATTCCAAGCGTTGCGAAAGCACTTGCTTTTGACGACATCACACCACTGGGTTTCGTGCTCCTTGTAGCATTTTTCTCGCTTTTGGTGTCTGTCCAATGCCTGGTTGCATTCCTGATGACTTTTTTTTTATTTTTTTAATCGATGCGTAGCGTCAGTAAAACGTTTCTTATGGCGCATTCGGTTTCTTAAAACGTGCATAAAATGTATGATCCATGTAAGGTGACTTTGATGTCAAGACTCGGTGTAAAATGTGCCGTGAAAATCGGTGTCTCCCAGTACCGTCCAGAAAATTTCACCCAAGGTGTATTTTATCTTGTTAAAATTCAGCGAGTAGCTCAATCAGTATGAAGAATGAGAACAACATACGTGAGTATTACAACGACGAGCACCAATGCTGTCGACTGTGTCGTGCCCAGAGTTGTGTTTCGAGTTGCTATCGAGAAGGCTGGCCGCACATGCTACTCAAAGCGGACGACACAGCTCGACGACACGCTTGCTTTGGGTGTAAATGAATGCACCTGATGATTTCTAGTTCGCTCCTCGTTATATAATATGACACCGTCTTTTGTTCGGGTTAGTCCATCTCAGGTACATTGGATTTCATGATAATATAAACTTAGGAGCGTGTTGGCTATTAGACAAAGACGACAGAAAGAGTAACACATTTAAAACTAAGAAACGCTGGACAGTTCTTTCAACACGCAACAACAGAGATACAGTGAATTTCCTAGCGAAGCAATTTTGAACCCACCCTTGCCTAGAAGAAAGGAAGAGATGAAGAAAAATAAAGTAATATAGTAAGTACAGGATAAACGGGGACTGAAGAAGTGTGACAGAAAAATTGCATTGTCGGATGGAAGTTGAAATGCACTTATGCCAATTCCGGAGTAAGGAATTCTATTTCATCCTTAGTTAAAATGATTGAAGGTGCTGAAATATTGTTATTAAATGAATTCATGCTGAAGGATTCTAGAATTCCTCGGCCAAACCTGTTACTGTGCCCTTCCAAAATCATCGTTTGTTCGAAACTCGGAACAGAGCCACTCCGCATGCGGGAGTGAACGACAATGGGGTGAAAAGAGTCTGCCGGAGCTTCTGAAACTTCCAGGTGGTGCTCGCGGAGTCAGTGGTTGATGCACCTGCCCGTTTGTTCTATGTATCGTTTTCCACATCGCAAAGGAACACAATAAACCTTCTGCTCTTCGCATGGGAGGAATTTGTTGGCATGCTTGACTGTGCATCCTTGAGACTTCTCGCTCGAGTTCACTTTTAGGCGCATCCGGCAGGAAAATACCACAATGATGTTGTACTTAGAAGCAATAGCTTTCAGTCGATGCGCTGAATTATGAGCGTATGAAATAACCGCAAAACGATCCCGCTTTTTTCCTCTGGTTGTACTGTCTTGCCGGTGACGGTCAAGAAGGAATCTCTGCAGGGTGTCTTTCAGAAGATCCGTTGAATAACCGGACTTGACAAGCCTTAGTTGTTCTAAATGAAAGTTTTTTTCGGAAAGGTGAGGGCATGACTTTGTAAAAGAGGATGAGAAAAAAGACTTGACAATGCCAAGTTTAACCGTTTAAATATGGGCGCTTGTAAAGGGTTACACCGTTTTTTTAGTTCTCTGTTGAAATGCCCAGCAAAGCCATGATGGAATAAGGTGGAGGCGAATTTTTAAGGATTGTAAACCCTCGGGCGAAATATCTTCCTTTGTGAAAGTAAGACTTGATGATCAGGAAGTAAAGGCTTCTACAATTCTCTCGAGAAGATTCAAGCATTTATGAATGACTAAGTAATTGTCCACAAATCTAAAGACTTGGCATCTATCACAAGTTAATGCCAGTCGCTGTTTAATGGCCTTGTCCACAAACGACAGGTAAACTTCACTGAGAATCGGGGCTAAACAGGACCCTGAAGATCTTTCCCCCATCATATTCTACCAGGGTGGACTGAAGGTAAATGGCCCTTTAAGTCTACAAAACCTGTCGCTGACACACCAGATAAGTTCTGCAAATCAGAAATACCATGCTCGTAAATAGCATCAGAAGTGTAGCCTAGGAGTAATTTTTGGTCTAAGCTATAGTACATGTCTTCTATGTCACGCGAAAACATGGCAATCGGCGTGGAAGACGAGTGTAGAGGACTGATGCGTGAAATCAATTCCATGGAGTTGGAAACCTTGAAGGGTTGCTGAAAGCAAACATCAGAAAGGTGCTTCTGCAAATGGAAGCCAAGTGACACTTTTGAACGGAATTCCTTCTTTGTGAGCTTTTTGCGGAAAAAAAAAAAACTGAGAAGTACTTTTTTTTCTCTCTTTCTTTCACTTTCTTCTGGGTAAGGGTAGAGTTAAGTATTTAGGAGTCATGCTTATTAATTAAGGTGTTTTCTTGTGGTTAGGAAAGTTTATCTTTCCAGAGTTGCGTCGGCATTGTGTTTTTTTAGCTTTCTACGTTTGGGTCGGCGGGGCCAGAGCGGCCGCGACGCGGGAGCGGTCCCCCCGCCGGTCGTTAAGAAGCGTCTCGGGTTTCGGGGGTCTGCTCGGACCGGGACCGAAAGAGCCCGCGCTGGAAGATGCTTGTGGCTTATAGCCGAATGTGCGTGTATGCAGAGGGTTTTGCCGCTTTGTATAAAATTGTCGCTTTTTGCCCGATGCAATAACTTAGCGGTTGGCGCCAGTCAGGCTGGGAAAATTGCAGAGAACAACTCTACAAGGAGTTTGGGTTTGACCGTTAGGACGCCAGGATGACAGCTCACCGACCATTGGAGAACAGTGTACCACGTGTGAGTGGCGGAATTTGAAGAGATTGGTCGGTTCCTGAGGGGAAAGGAGGCCCCTACGGACCTACAAAAAGAGCGCGGAGAGGATTTTGAGGGATTCGGACTTTGGATTTGATGGAGAGAAATTGGGGACGGGGGTCGAGACTTTAGACGAGGCAGGATGGTTTCCCAAGTTGGGACTTGTAACTAGAGTGTAAATAAATGCACATAGTTCTATTCAAGCAGTGAGTCGACCCGTCACTCAGCGACGTTCGTGCCACCACGCTCCAGACCATCGAAGCGGAACCTGCCTCCCACACCACCGGGAGGACTTTAACTGGCGCAGTCGACAGGATGGTGGCGCGATTTCCGGTGAGACGACGTGTCGGCGACCTGCGGGCAAGTACGTGAGCTTCGGCTCAACGGTGGACGAGGCAGCATCCCTGTGAGAAGCCTCGTGGGCTCCGGCCCGAAGTGACCAGGACGACATCCCCGTGAGAGGTCTTGGGGGTTTTGACCCGACGTCAACGGTGGACGAGGCAACATCCACGTGAGAAGCCTCGTGGGCTCCGGCCCGAAGTGACCAGGACGACATCCCCGTGAGAGGTCTTGGCGGGTTTTGACCCGAAGTGGACGAGGCGACATCCCTGTGAGAGGCCTCGTGGGTTTCGACCCGAAGAGAACAAGGCGACATCCTCGTGAGAGGCCTTGTGGGTTTCGACCCAAAGGGGACGAGGCGACATCCCTGTGAGAGGCCTCGTGGGTTTCGACCCGAAGAAAAGGAGCGGACGGAGCAACATCTACGCGAGAAGCTTCGTGTGGGGCGGTCCAAAGAGCAGCGACGACGCAGCATCGTCTACGTGAGAGGTTGCGTGGTGTTGCGACCCGAAGAACGGACCAGCCGGTACCCGACTCCAGGACCAACTCCGGCGGGTGACGTCCAGCGACGCCGAGAGTCATCGCCTCAGGAGCAGCGCACTGACACAGGTGGGACTCACTTCTGTTTCCTCCGGGTTTCGCATGTCAGTGGTGACTCGGTCCATGACCAAGGGGGCTCAGGAAGCGATGAGTGAAAGCGGCGATAAGAGCCCGGCCATGCTGGACGACATGTCGGAGGGGGGAGGGAGTAAGAGCGAGAACGAGCTTAAGCTAAAAATTGAAGCTCTAAAACTGCAACTCCAGCTCGCACAAATTAACGCGAAGCAGGCAGGGGAGAAGGCGTGTTGCGGTGGAAAAGACGCGGGTGAAAGAAGCAAGATGTCGGCATACGCAAAGAAGCTGCGCGCGGTGTTGGCTCAGATGCCAGATGCCGAGTCCATGGTCCCAGGGTGGTTCAAAAACGTAGACACGCTTTTCGCGTCGATGAGCATACCAGCGGAAGCACAGGGGGCCATCATTCTTCCGTTTCTAACGGAAAGAATGAGGGCTTTCAGCGCGAATCAGTCAGACGGACGGATAATGCCGTACCCAGAATTGAAAGAAAAAATTCTCAGGGAACTTAAGATGACCGCCAACGAATACCGGAGGTTATTCCTCACATCTCGAAAAACAGACGGCGAGTCGTGGGCACAATTTTCCACGAAACTAGAGACGTTTTTTTTATACTATCTGAACAGTCGCGAGATTCAGACTCTGGATCAGCTGAAGCACCTCATGGTGTCAGATAGGTTGAAGCAAGTCATGCCAGACGAAGTGAGAACCTACGTTCTCCAAAATGAGACGAATGGGTGGCTTAGGCCAAAGGAGGTAGTTGAGTTGGCGGAGAACTTTGACGAAAGCCGTCGTGGGAGAAAGCCTCGAGGCAGGGAGAAAGCGTGGGGCGGTGCACCCGTTCGAGGGCGAGATGGGCAGCCGAAGGAGACTGCGCTGACGACGACTGACGGCGAGGGACGTGGCGCGGACCGAATGAGGGCAATTCGTTGCTTTGGTTGTGGCCAAACGGGACATATCCAGAGAAACTGTCAGCAATCACGAAGGCAAGCAGACGAAGGTCAGGGGAACCAAAACAAACATGACCCCCGAAAATTGGTAGCCCAGGTGGCGTCTATGCCCGCGGAAAAAGCTAAGGAGTGCGTCGAAAGGGCCGGTATGAGTCTCAGGTGGGTGGAACTCCTAGTGGCAGACAGACCTCTGAAGGCCTGCCTAGATTCCGGGGCAGAGATTACGGTCTTGAGATTGGAAACGGTTCCTGCGGCGTGCTTAGAACAGAGTAAAGGAACAATCAAGTTGAAGGGAGCGTTCGGACAGGTGGTAACCGCAGATTTGGCCTACGCGCCACTGAGTCTAGTAGTGGAGGGAGAAAGCGCGGGCCAGCAAGTCCTCACACTGTGTGCGATCACCGACGAGTTGTCGGACAGTTTGGGAGCGTTGCTTACGCCAGAGGTGTACGAAGAACTACTGCAAGTTCGATCAGTTCTCGAGAGGGAAGCGGTAGAAATTCAAGTGATGGAAAATGAGATGGACCAGGACTTCTGACGCACACCTAAGGACACACTAGAGGATAAGGTGTTCGAGTGCGAAACCACAGAGAACGAAGATGCGACGGACGTAGATGCAGTAGAGGTAGATTTGGACCAACCCGAGATTGGGCCACGTGACGAATGTTTCGCTCGCGAACAGAGGGACGACCCAACCTTATGTGACGCGTGGGAACAGGCTAGGGATGGGACCCACGGAATGCTGGTTGAGGACGGGCTGCTGTTCCACCGAGACGAGTTTGAGGGAAAGTCCTGTAAGCTGCTTGTACTTCCGAGCACGCGGAGGCGTTCCGTGCTGGAACTGGCCCATGACACTCCGTGTGGGGGTCACTTCTCGCAGCGGAAAACGAAACAGAGAATCAGGAGTGCGTTCTTTTGGCCTACGATGGCAGCCGATGTCAAAAGACATTGTCAGACATGTCACACGTGTCAGACGTTTTCGCGAAAACAGGTGACCGATCGCGTGCCAATCACACCGCTCACCAGGCCGGAGCAGCCGTTCCAGGTAGTCTACATGGACTGCATCGGTCCCCTGGAACCTCCCTCCGCACGCGGGTACCGCTATGCGCTGAGCGTGGTGGACTTGTGCACGCGTTGGGCGGAGGTGATCCCGTTGAGAGCTTTAACGGCGAAGGCAACGTGCCAGGCGCTTTTAGAGGTGTTTTCGCGGTATGGGACACCCGAAACGATTTGCTCGGATCAGGGCACAAATTTTGTTTCGAAGCTCACAGCCGAACTAACTGAGAGACTGGGAGTGGGAGTGCGATTTTCCACCCCGGAACACCCCCAGAGTAACGGAATTGTAGAGCGGTGGAACGGGACGTTTAAGTCAATGTTGCGACATGTCGTGGAGGCCCACGACAGGGACTGGGATAAGTACATCCCATGCATGTTGTGGGCATATCGCGAGGTTCCGCATGACACAACGGGGTTTTCACCGTTCGAACTTATGTATGGACGCGAACCACATGGTCCACTGAGCATACTAAAGAAGTCGTGGACAGGCGAGTGGACGCCCCCTGCTGGGCTGAACAAACCGGCAGCCCAATGTTTGAGCGAACTCCGAGCGCGGATGGCGGAGGCAGCACAAGTGGTGGACGTGCGATCAGAGCATATCCAGAGGGCGTACGCGAACAAGTATAACCTACGGGCGAGATCGAAGGAATTCCGAGTCGGAGACGAGGTGCTGATCCTTGAAAGTGGGAAAGTGGGGAAGCTGCAACCGAAATGGTTAGGCCCCGTTAAGGTGAAGGAGAGGAGACGAGATGACAGCTACGTCATAGAGACGGAGAATGGAGTGAGATGGATACACGCGAATCGGTTAAGGCCTTACCTCGCTCGAGCAAATAACGCTGGAGTTATTTTTGAGACCGACCAGGAGTTCGGTGAGGTACCGATCGTCCCATGCGGCATCGGGCGAAGTGAGAGCGCGAACAAGGTCGGTGAGGTTAGCGAGAGGCTCACTGGGCGACAGCAGCGCGATCTAGATCGAGTACTGGGTAACTTCTCTCATGTGTTCTCGGAAGAACCGGGAAGGTGCAATGTCGGGGCCCACACGATCACTCTTCTTCCTAACGCCGGATGCACTAGAGTCCACCCGTACAGTGTACCAATCGCATTAAGAGAGGAAGTAGAACGACAGGTGACCCAGCTGCTGGAATGGGGCTTCATCTATCCAGTAGATAGCCCGCACGCTCACCCTGTGGTGTGCGTAGCCAAAAAAGACGGATCTGTAAGGATGTGCATAGATTACAGAAAACTCAATGCAGTTACGGAGCCAGACAGTTTCCCCATGGGGAACATGACCGAGCTTTTGTATGAGGTGGCAAAGGCCAAGTTCATTTCCGTTTTGGACATGACGCGGGGGTATTGGCAGATCGCGCTCGATGTAAACTCGCAGAGACTTAGTGCGTTCGCCACGCCGCGAGGACTCTACGCTTGGAGGGTTATGCCTTACGGGTTGAGGAATTCCGCGGCCACCTTTCAGCGGGTGATGAACGAGGTGTTGAGAGAACACCGCGGATACGCGTGCGCGTATATCGACGATGTAGCGGTTTTCTCGGAGTCGTGGGAGGAACACGTCGAGCACTTGAGCTCCGTGTTGGAGACGATCGCTGGTGTGGGACTGACGGTGAATCCCACGAAGTGTAAATTCGCGCAGTCCAAGGTTAAGTACCTCGGCCACGTTGTGGGATCAGGGACTCATTCACCGGACCCAGAAAGAATCAGTGCTATATCTGAACTGAAGGCACCCAGGACCAAACGCGATGTGCGCAGTGTGCTGGGTCTCTTCAATTACTACAGAGACTACGTCCCCGGGTATTCCGAGATTGTCCGCCCATTGACTGACTTGACGCATAAGAGGGTGCCAAACCTGGTACCATGGACCAAGGCGGCGAACGATGCCTTTGAGAGAGTCAAAGAGGCTCTGGTGGCGCTGCCGGAGCTCACCGCACCCGATCCTGCTCGGGAGTACACGGTGACCACGGACGCCTCTGAGTTCGCTGTCGGCGCGTGTCTGTCGCAAATTGTGGAAGGCTTATCTAGACCGATTGCGTTCCTCAGCAAAAAGCTGACGGAAAGCCAGGCAAAATGGTCCGCCATTGAAAGAGAAGCGTACGCCATTGTGTGGGCACTGGGGAAACTCGACACCTGGCTGTTTGGGGCGAAGATAAAAGTCGCCACGGATCATAACCCGCTGACGTATCTTACGCACGCCGCTTCCTCCAGTGCCCGACTGACGCAGTGGTCGTTGGCCTTGCAAAAGTACGATCTGGAAATCGTTCACATTAAGGGCTCGCTTAATAAATGCGCTGACGCCTTGTCAAGGCTAGACAGGCATGACTAGGGTATTATGATCATGCACTAAACTTTGGGAACTCTCACCACTGATTTTGCGGGACCACGGAATGTACGGGAGTGGGTCCGGCCTGTGTGTGATCGTGGGTGGCAGTTGGATTTTGAATATGACAGCTATCATGACAGTGTTTCTTTTGTGTGCCCAGTCTGGTGTGTGTTGGACGTTTTGCCTGCGGCAGCCGTTTTAGTGTTTCTGGTTTTGGAATTGTAACCATTTTCTTATTTTAATCGGTGCCGTTTGATTGTGTTCACATTTACAGATGATCAGGTGGTGAACTTTTAGAGCGTGATGTTGACGTTGTTGCTTTTGGTTAACTGTGGGCCAAGTAGTTGGTTCGAATATTTGCCAGTGCGATATTCGGGGAAGGAATTTATGTTGCGCTTACATCAAGTGTCAACGTAACAGTCTTGGTGGGGAGGAGTTAAGTATTTAGGAATCGTGCTTATTAATTAAGGTGTTTTCTTGTGGTTAGGAAAGTTTATCTTTCCAGAGTTGCGTCGGCATTGTGTTTTTTTAGCTTTCTACGTTTGGGTCGGCGGGGCCAGAGCGGCCGCGACGCGGGAGCGGTCCCCCCGCCGGTCGTTAAGAAGCGTCTCGGGTTTCGGGGGTCTGCTCGGACCGGGACCGAAAGAGCCCGCGCTGGAAGATGCTTGTGGCTTATAGCCGAATGTGCGTGTATGCAGAGGGTTTTGCCGCTTTGTATAAAATTGTCGCTTTTTGCCCGATGCAATAACTTAGCGGTTGGCGCCAGTCAGGCTGGGAAAATTGCAGAGAACAACTCTACAAGGAGTTTGGGTTTGACCGTTAGGACGCCAGGATGACAGCTCGCCGACCATTAGAGAACAGTGTACCACGTGTGAGTGGCGGAATTTGAAGAGATGGGTCGGTTCCTGAGGGGAAAGGAGGCCCCTACGGACCTACAAAAAGAGCGCGGAGAGGAGTTTGAGGGATTCGGACTTTGGATTTGATGGAGAGAAATTGGGGACGGGGGTCGAGACTTTAGACGAGGCAGGATGGTTTCCCAAGTTGGGACTTGTAACTAGAGTGTAAATAAATGCACATAGTTCTATTCAAGCAGTGAGTCGACCCGTCACTCAGCGACGTTCGTGCCACCACGCTCCAGACCATCGAAGCGGAACCTGCCTCCCACACCACCGGGAGGACTTTAACTGGTAGGTTCAAAAATACTCGGCTAGGAGATTCACTGGCTCTGTCTTGTTGCGAGCTGAAAGAAGAAGTGTCCATCATCCCTTTGTTTTAGATGTGTTATTATTTCTGTTGTCTTTGAATTTAATGAGTATTGTTGTGTTATTTTGTCCACCTTTCCCGATCTTTGAGCGATTTCGCGCTTGAAGACTTTAAAAAAATTACGGATTTAGTGGTTTTCGATGACGCTAAGCAAGTTTCTAATTAGAACCATATATATATTTCCAGTAATTAAAAAGTTATTCAGTGATTTTTTATATAATTAGCGAACTAATGAGTAAGTATCGCGCATTTTCTGACGTCCGCTACCAGAAAAATGCGGTCCGGTAAAAATTATCTGTTTATTTGGAATACACCAATTTTAGGAATTTTGTCAGTCTTAACTCAACTCTCTGACGTCATGCCGCTGTGGTGGTGCTGCTGTCGGTATTTCGCATGCACAGACGGTTCCTTTCACGCGAGCTGTGCGTGGGCGCCGCCATTACCGACCTTCCGATTTTTGTTTCCTCTTATTCCGTTTATTTCCCTTCATCATGATCATAGCAGGTCAAGGTTTTCCCATTTTAGGTTCTACTGTGTTTTCCCCGGCATTGGCCTTTGTGGAGGCTGGTCAAAGCCCGTTTCAGTGGCTCGGTATCTCGTCAAGACAAGAGAAGGTCAGCAATGGCGGCTTTAATCTGGAGCGTGTTCTAGACGTCTAGAGAAGATGGGGACTAGAGTGACTGGCAGCTGAAGAAACACAGGGCAGCAACGAGTGTGCAAAGGTAGAGCTACTGTGTTCGCGGTGGGTCTAGGACTTTTCGGTACAGACGTTTCGGCGCACGGACTTTTCGGTGCACGTACTTTACGGTACACAGACAATCAAAATACGAGATCTTTTTTTTTTGTCCAAAGTCGTGTGGACCGTTAAAAAAGCGACCTCACTCACGAGA